CGCAGCCTGTGTCGCAGGGACTGCAGTCACACCCGAATTTTCTAGGCAACACCTGGACTGCCGTCATTGTCACCAGATTTTCCCGGCCGCAACCTGGACATGGTGTTGCGACCAGGCGGGACGTAAGTCTATGCTAACCTATGCCGCTATCAGCAATCACGTTTTAAGTTAAAGATAATAAGATCATATGTGAACCAAAACCAAGATCAACGAGCACGATAATGCGAAGCCTATATTTGATCTCGAACATAAATAACAAGCATACGAGGCACGCCAAGGTAAAACTACTAAGCGAGTAAATATATTTTTATTTAATTTCACCAACTATTCTACGTTAGCAAAAATCGTTATTGAAGTACATGTGAATAAGAATGATTAATTTGCTTAACATGATTTCATAATTAATGAATGAAGAACACTTAACATGGTGAACAAAATGTGAACAGATAACAGATTCGGTTAAAGTTCACTAATCAATTATGCCACGTGTCATTAGCATAAATGATTTAATTTACTCTTATTGCCTCATTCAGAAATCTATAAATAGGCATAGTCGGAAAGAAAAAAAATATATACGAAAAATTGAACAATCTCCTTTCAAATAGTCATTTAATCTCTCATAGCTTGTGTTTGAGAAATAATATAGTGAGTTTAGAAGGGAAAATCTTAGTTAAATGAGAGGAATTTATTACTCGCAATGTGAAAATCAACCGATCCAATTTATAATTTCCCTCAAATATTGCAAAAGCGAGTAGCACACAATGAAAGAAAGTAATTAGGATAATAAAAGATACAAAGAGACTCACCGTGAGAAACACAATTTTTTTTTTTTGCAGAGAGTCTTTCAATTTTCTTAGCACGAGACAAATCTCATGCCCATAGTGGAAATGAGATATCTTGCCCATAGGGGAGATGTTAGGACGTGATTTTGTCACCTCATCGGTATGATCTAAAATACCCGTTAGGTGCACCAGTGAGCAAGATACCATCTATCCACTATGGCAGTCTCGTTCCTTGGCATAAGCTACCAAATTTCCTTGAACATTCTATTGAATTTGAAAATTTGCTTTGCATCTTTTGGTAATTTTCACTTTTTTTATTCCCGAATTTATCATTTTCACAGTTTGAAAAACTAGAAAAAAAAATTGTACAAGGGTGAATGTAGTTTGATAAAAGGGTTTGAATTGAGTGCTTGTTTGATTTCTCATTAATGAGAAAGTACGAGTTTTGAATAGTATTTTTAAGAGACTGCGTGATTGAAAAGTATGAAAAAGTTTTGAGAGAACTTTAGAATATTTTATTATGTAAATATGTAGCTAAAAAGATCTCATAGCAAATTATAAAATAAGTTAATGGGAATCGAAACAATCCCTAAAATCGAACATGCCATTGAAAATGGAAATTATCCAAAACAGTTAAAGTAGAATTGTCCATAGAGAGAGAAGGTGGCTAAGAATGGAATAGATAAAAGGATTTTGAGCTTGCCCATTTTTAGTGTAAAATGTATTTTATAATAATATATCGATGGAAAATATATTATTAAAAAATACAAATAAAAATTGAATTTGCGTATAATATTATTTTATTGAAAAATGTGTGATTAAAAAGAAGTAGAAAAATGTATTTTAGAAAAAATTAGATCAAATATGGGCTTTATTTGATTTTATTTTGGGGGTAATTAGCACGTAACGTCCTCACCTTTCATTATTATTTTGGCATTTTCACTTGTATTTTCACATTTCATTGCCCAAAAGATCATTTTCATCTATTTTTTCAATTAAAAATTGTGAAATTGCGAATATACAATTCTCTTTAAATAAAACAAAAGGAAAAAAATTAATCTTTATCATAGTCTCAATTTTTTTTTAAAAAAAAGAGTAAATGAATCCCAAATAAATTATTAAAAGGATAATTAGCACATAATATCTCTACCTTTCATTGTTTTAGCAGAAAACGTCCATATTCTTTTTTTTTTTTTTTTTNGGTGAGTGGAATGATTTAATTTCAATAATTTTCGTTCATTTCATCTTTTTTTTTTTTTTAATAATCCAAATGTACTATATTACTGACACTTTTGTACAAATTTTAAATGTAGTCAAATCTTGCTAGACATGTATGGTATTTAAACAACCATGCTACAAGTACAATTTTTTTGACATCAAGTTTGACAATGTGCCACGTGTTGAAGGTTGAGTGGCCAGTTTTTAAACACCACACACTCTCCCGCCCATTCGAATTTGAATTAATATGGATTGTCAAATTCCTTGTCAATCATGGATTATACACAAAACATTATTCGTATTTAAATTATGCAAATAGGTAAAAATGTCCAAAATTGACAATCTTGAAAAGACTAAGGCCCCGTTCGGGAAGGATTAAAAGCCAATTAAAATTGAAAATATGGCCGTTATTGGGTCCCACTCATCTAATAAAAGTCAACAATAACGGCTATATTTTCAATTTTAATCAAATTTTAATCCCTCTCATACAAGGCCTAAAAAAAAGTGACATTTTTGTAAATGTAAAGTCAAAAATTGACATATAGTGCAATTTTCTCGTTATTTTATTGAAAAATACGTGGTTGTAAGGAAGAAAGGGAAAATATATTTTTGAAAAAATTAGGGGGATTTTATTTGATTTTATTTTTGTTTACTGTTCAAAACACATCATTCCGGTCGAACAACATTGCCGTGCAGAATTCTCGAGAGAGAACCCTATTGATATTTTCCAATTTCACCGGGAAAATCATCCAATAGGTTAGCTTCAATTCACATGATCACTCTCTCAAGAATTTCGTCTCTCAGTAATATCTTCAAATCAACCTACACAAGCTCGTTTGTACATAATTTTATCCCTACAATCGACCCCTCAGACTCGCTCCTCTACTTCATCTTACTCTCCGTCGAAACCCAGTCCCTCAGACTCACCCAGCAATGTCACGCGCAAGTTCATCGTGTCGGCCTCATTCAGCATCCCCTTATAGCCCAGAAACTCATAATTTCATATTCTTACTTCGAACACACATATGACTCCCAACTTGTTTTGGACTCGATTTTGCTCAAAAACACGCACCTTTGCAACAACCTCCTCAATGGGTTCGCGAAAAACCAGTTGTTTAGCAAGAGTTTTGAGCTTTTCAGGAGTATGTCTGAAGCTACCAGTTTGCCCCCGGCGGATGAGTTTACCTTTTCTATTATATTTAAAACTGCAGGGGACTTTGGGGATGATTTATGTGGGAAAATGATTCATGGAAGGGGGATGAAGAATGGATTTGTTCTGGATACCGTTGTCGGCAATTCTTTGATGACAATGTATAGTAAATGTGGCGTTATTGACGATTCTTTGAAAGTGTTTGATGAAATGCCTTACAAAAATGTGTCTTCTTGGAATGCGGCAATTTTGTGTTATGCAAATCTAAACTCCTATAAAAGAAATGGTTTTTCTGATAATAACAAATTGTGGGAATTTGTGAAGGGAATGCAAAATGAAGGATTGAAATTTGATGCATATACAGTCTCTATACTTCTTCCTTTGTGTGGAGGAGATGTTAAAAATGGTAACTGTGGCAAAAATTTGGGCTATGGAAGGGAATTACATGGTTACATTGTGAAATATTGGTTGGATTTGTGTGCAGGCTCAGGTTCTGATGCTCATTTGGGATGTTGTTTGATTGATATGTACTCAAAAAGTGGTGGAGTTGATGTAGGGAGAAGGGTTTTTGATAGGTTGAAGTATAGGAATGTGTTTGCTTGGACTGCGATGATTAACGGGTATGTACATTGTGGGAATTATAACGAAGCTTTGTGTCTTCTACGTGAAATGCAATGGAGGGATCAATTGGAGCCTAATAAAGTGTCGCTTGTGAGTGTTTTGCCAGCTTGTAGTTCATTTGCTGGTTTGATGGTTGGGAGGCAGATTCACGGATTTGCAATAAGGAGGGCGTTGAATCATGAAGTCTCTTTATGTAATGCTTTGATCGATATGTATTCCAAATGTGGGAGTTTGAACAATGCAAGACGAGTCTTTGACTATGATTGTATTAAAAAGGATGAAATTTCTTGGAGTTCAATGATTTGTGGATATGGTTTACATGGCAAGGGTCGAGAAGCATTGGTTTTGTTTGATGAGATGCTTCAGAACGGGATCCAGCCAGACACGATTATGGTTGTCGGATTTCTTTCTGCATGTTGTAAGTCAGGATTGATCTATGAAGGCATAAAAATATATGAATATGTACTGAATAACTATGATATTAAGCCAACATTGGAGATGTGCGCATGCATGGTTGATATGTTAGGTCGATCAGGTCAACTTGATCGAGCCTTGCATTTTATCAAGAGCATGCCTGTTGAACCAGGACCTAGCATTTGGGGTGCCCTTGTGAGTGCTTCTGCACTCCACGAAAATTCTGAAATGAGAGATTTGGCTTATAAGTTCCTCATCCAGATTGAACCCGAGAATTCATCGAACTATATCTCCCTTTCAAATCAATATGCAGCTTCCAAACGCTGGGCCGATGTAGCTGAAGTGAGAAAGGCAATGAAAGAAAGAGGGCTTAGGAAATTGCCCGGTTGTAGTTGGATCACCATACATAGTGTGACTCACAGTTTTCTCGTTGCTGACAAATCACATCCATGCTCGGGCATGATTTACAGAATGCTGAATGAACTAGGTTTGGCTATGAAGCTATATGGTCGAAACCCTGGTTCTGCATATATGATGGAGGTGTTGGAATGATCTTGGAAGCAGGTATTAAGCTGTAACCACTAATACAGTATGTTAAAATGCAGTACAGTCACTAATACGGTATATTAATATTCAGTAAAGTTAGTTACGTATGTTAATACGGTGTGTTGATAGTCAGTACAGGGAAGAATGCTCATCAGGGAAAGTAATAACAATTATCGTAAACTTCCAATGTCAAAAATTGAAGGAAAATACACTTGTTTCTTAAATCTAATGGCAAAATTTGGTCCCTTAGCTGAGGGTTTGTACCAAGACTAAGAGACTACCATGCATATTGTTGTTCAATCCTGGAAATAGCCAGATGTATGTAATATCATCAAAGCCTCAGAATTGTTTGTTTGACTGCCAAAAACAACACTTGTACAGATGATTTGGACAAATATTAAAATCAAGTTGAGATTATCTTTTGTTGGTCACACAATTATGTGCATGAACCCAGTCAAACACACCTGTGAATGTATATGTAAGTGCAGAAGCTTCTGTTTTGTGTTAGAACCATATTTACTGTCCAAAGATGCCAGTTTACCATCTTTTCCATGAACTTTATTTGTTTCATTTCATAATTAGAAACAATTCAAGCAAAAGCAAGAGAGGAGGCAGAAATGAGACTAGGAGAGTGTAGGAGTGTGTTTGGTAGGGATTTTAAGGAGAAAAATTGATTTTTGAATAGTGATATGATGGGAAATGTGTGGTTGAAAAAGAAGAAAAAAGTATTGATGTGATGGAAAATATTATTTTATTGAAGAATGTGTGGTTGAAAATGAGAATTGATTTACTGTAGAAAAGGAGAAGTTTTACCAAACAGGCCCTAGATGTCGTTTTGGCTTTATTGTGAAACATAGCTGAATGGAAGATTTGCTAAGAAAAAAATGATATTTGGTCCATGAATTGTGGTTAAATAATCTTTATTGCGGGAGTTACGGAGTTTTATCGTAAGGATTAGTGGAATTAAATATTGTGAGGTTTTGGATGCTGAATTAATGAGCCCATTTAGTGATATTAAGCCCAAACTAAATAGCAAGCCCAAAATCGGATGGCCCAGTTAATGGAATACTCTAGAATGCGTCCGTTGGATTTAATTCAATCAGACTTCATGGATGATTGACACCTGGATATTGTTCTGACTGTTGGATCAAGTTGTTTAGCTATTTCATATAAATAGCCTTGCCAGACTTTTCGTCTCTCACGCTGTTCATTCTCGACTATTCTTGAAACCCTAGTTCTCTCTCTATTTCGAATACTTTGTGATTAATCTGTAAACTGTGAGAAATTTTCAGTGTGATCTTTCATGTAATCAGATAGAGAGTGTTGTGGTTGGTCTCTTAGTGAGATTGATCTGTATTGTTGAGGCCTTTGTGCCGTGTTCTTGAGTTCGAACATTCTTGTTGTTATGTAACTCTGTTGTGCCTGATTTGGGCCATTATTAGTGGATTCGAGCTATATCCTAACTGATGCTCAACGGGGGATTAGGCGTTAGAAGTGGTCACCGAACCTCCGGGGCCTTGGGCCAAAAATTCATAGTGTTATCTTTACTTTTCTGCATTTACTTTGTGTATCTTGTCTTTAAATGGTTGAATCACAAGTTAAATATAATCTTCTGGGAGTCTGGGACCAACAAATATAAGCATTGTTCGACAAATATATGCAAGTAGGAAATTATTTTTTCATTCTTGATCTTTGATATGCTTGTTTTGTGACCTCTTTCTCGAACATCAATTTGATAGTGAGGCAGAAATCAGTGATGCAAGTCATATGGAGTAAATAAGAGGAATTTGGTGGTGGTTGGTGAAGATTTTGTAGAACCACTTCAGGCACTGAGGAGCGCCTCTCTTGATTGTTTATGGGGACTGGTTTGAACTCTTGCACATTGACCAGTGGAAAGGTTGGGGTCATTTGGATCTAAAGAGAGCAACGATGATTGTTGAAGCGTTTGAATATTCCGTCCACATGACAACTGGACTAAATGAACTTGACGCTGACATAAAGTTGTACAAGTTCAAGATCTATTTGAACGTGGTAGACATTGGGGCATCGTTAAGTTTCTTATTGGGAAGACTTCGGCGCAACGTAGCACGCCCATCTATGTTGCACCAAAGGGTAAAATTGTGTTCTCGAGGATCGACTAACAATTGACAAAGAAGTGGGCTCAAGAAAGGTGTAAGTTATGCACTAAAGAGAAGAACATCAGTTCAACATCTCAAGTGATAAGACGTGGGCAGGATTCAAACCTGCAATCTTCGTGTCATGAGCCCAATCATTTGAACAATTCGCACACATAATAAAAAGAATCAGCTTCAGAGAATGTGCATGAGCATCAATCAACAGACTCTACGAAGTGGAATTTGATTGGCTGGTGCGATTGATTAGCAAATGCTATGTTCATCCTATCCTGGGCATATAGACTTCTGTGGAGGTGAAGCTGATGAAAATTGCCCCTTGCTTTTCCATGTAATATTTGATATTCCTGTAAATTTTTTGGGTATCACTTTATTTATTTATGTTTTGGGAAAATTCTGGTCCCATTACGACGAAATCAGGATACCAATTTATACTAGTAATGTTGTCATCAATGTAAAATCAAGTTCTTTCTGTAGTGTTTTTACTTGGAATTAGTCATACTATGCATCAGCCTGTAGTATTGATATAGAAGTAATAGATATGATAATTAGAGAAGTTAATCTTGGGCTCCCGATGCATCAAATGAATATTATGTACTCTTTTGACAGCAAATATAAAACAATGCAGGATATTATTGATTCTTGATCTTTTGATATGCCTAGTGTCTCACCTCTTTATCAACCATCAACTTGATAGAGAGGCAGAAAATGGTAATGCATGTGACTTTGGAAAAAATAAGAGGGAGTTGGTGGTTAGTGATCAAGACTGTAGATCCACTTCAAGCACCGAGGATGGCGTCTTGATAGATAATTCCAATGGTTCAAATGTTTGCACGTTGAGCAGTGCAAAGGATCTTGGACCGCCGCATTTGGATCTATAGAGAGAGACGGTGATCATTCAAGCATTTGAATATTTCGCCTGCCAGAGTATTGGAGTAATTGAACTTGATATTATCATCATCTTGTACAAGTTCAAGATCAATTTGAACATGGGAGACAGATGGCATAATTTAGTTTCTTATTGGCAAGCCTTTGGCTCCATATAGTGGCACCATTCCCTGCTAGGTCCTACGACGCTGCACCAAAGGGTGACGTTTTTCATTGAGGATCAACTCCTCCATTTGGCAAATGAGAAAGAAGTGGCCTCAAGAAAGCTAGAAGTTGTACACTAAATCGAAGAATCTTAGCTCAACAATACAATTAATTAGGCTGGGGCATGCAATCTTCATGTCATGAGCATGTTGTTACTCTACTGTGCCCAGTAATGAAAGGAATTCAGTTTCGACTCACAGTGACAAATACTCTGAAGTGGGATTAAATTGGAAGGTAGGATTGCTTAGACCATGAATCTAGATCTATACATGTGACCCTCTTATGTGGAGGTACTGGTACTGAAACTTTCCTTTTTCTTTTTCCTTGATTTCTGTTATGAATGTATAGGTGAAATTGTTTGGATATCAAGAGTTCAAATTTTGCGATGCGAGGTGATGTTGAGCGAATTTAAAGTGTATTTTATATTGCGGTCATTTCTCTAGCCCAAATTATTGCTTTTGAATTAGTACTCACTTATTGTGGCAATATTTATGATTGATGTGGAAAATATTCCTAATCAAAATTCCTCATGGTGTGCATCAGACTGCAGTATTCATTTTATATTTACGTATATAGGAGAAGTGTATATATGATAATGAATCACTTAAATCTTGTAAAAGAAAAGGCAAATATAAACAGATATTCCAGCCATTCCTATCAATTATCCCGAATTTTCCTTTCTATTCGAAACCCAACTTGATCAATAAAATGAATTAATGCCGGAATAAAAAACTGCGAGTTATGGGTCAGGGATGTGCAGTAAGATGGGCGTAGTTCTTTACAGTCTTGATTGATATGGGAATGCATGACAAGGGATGGATACTGTAAGAGGACATGCAAGGACTTAAAGAAGAAAATACGGAAACGAAGCGGAAAAAAAATAAAAGGCGGATTATGACATTATTGAATGATGACCAAAGGTCATGAACACTTAGTACACATTTATTCCCATTTATAATAAAATAAGAATACCAACTCTCTACTATTTTGTGACTAATGTCTATCCAAAGAATAGATAACAAATATCAAATAATAATTTAACAACTTCTATCATTTGATTTGAATTTGACAATCTTATCACTCTAAGATTTTCTAGTTTCATCCTCATCATTTCTGTTGTGATTTGTTTGATATTTCTAACATCCTC